CCTCTGCACTCTGTAGTGATGGTGTCCTTTCGGAGGTCCACAAAAATAAGTGCCTGCAATCTGGTAAAAGCCTCAATGTCATCAATATATATTAATTTATATAGTTAATTTGTGGGGGACTGTTAAAGCATATAAACAAAATGGGACCACTCATGATGATGGGAAGCTCTCCACATCACTACATCCGGCTCAAGACATCAACAGGCAAAAGCAAATATCTAAATTTATCTCAGCCGTTGGTGAAGACACCAATACTACGGCTTGAAACTTACTCTCTTATCCTGGTCTCATTCCATTAAGAACACAATATATACTTGTACTGGAACAGTGTGAGAAATTAATGAAGTGAAGATAGCTGATAATTCTTTGTCTCATTTATGATTCTTCTCTATTTTACATTTTTCTACCGCAGCTAGTTAATGCTTATATTATATCATTTACAGGAATTTATCAATATTAAACACCCGGGTTACAAAATTTTATAAAGCATACATACATAAATCATTTGAAATCAACTCAAATAGTAGTATAGACACATCTACGCCTCATGTTCAATTTCAAATGGAATTTCATAGGCGAAATGCATCGCCGTAGCACTAGCAATCACCGACGAATGACACACCGGGTAGGTTGGATGTTGCCACAGCCATTTATGTTATGCTCCAATCGAGTTCGAGTCCAAATAAAGTCCTCCATATGTTCAAATAAAGTTCAGGCTAAATATGAGCCTCTTCCGTTCGTTTGAGTCTCTTGTAGTCACATTGAGTTCGCTTGTATTTGAGTCAAATGCTTGCAAGTTCAAGTCCCAAATAATCTTGTTGAGTTCAAGTCCAAATTTGTTCACTTGATTCAAGTTCTGAATATAGTTCCATATGGTCGACTTATATGTTAAGCTCAAATTCAAGTTCAAGTTTGAGTCTTTGTTTAATTCAAATTCTTGTGATTTATTAAGTTCGAATTCATTTAGATTTGAGTTTATTGTATCAAAGTTCACAAGTCTGAGTCCACTTTTGTCCTTTGAGTTCAATCGAGTCCAAGTACAATTTTGTGTTCACCATAAATTTCGGCAGCCTCCTAGCGTCTCCCCAGTTTAGTGGAAAACTACGGAAAACTGAGTCTACTCACCATGCTAAGAAAAGCGTGTACGATAGGTGTCCTCGGACGAGGACACCGCGACCGTATTTTTTGTCCCCCACCACGCCAAGAAAAACGTGTATGGGTCTTCGATACCTGTTGCAAAAGAAATGTAGTTATTTCCCTGCAAGCGGGTACTTATGAATATCCCCACTTCATCAAAAGTAATTAATTATAATTAAGTATAAAATTAATTATAGTTAATAATAATTAATTACTGAATCATAATTAATTAGTATTAATAGTAGTTAACTCATAATTAATAATTATAATTAACAATAATTGACATTAATCAATTACAATTAATTGCAGCAACTATTTGGATACAAGATCTAAATGTGATTTGAGCAGGATATGATCAAAATTATGCATGATATAACAGGATTAGAACAGGATTAACAGAGAACTAAACTCTATGCTTACGCTTAACAGAGAATTTAATCTTTTGTTTTAAGGGATTTGGCCGAAGCAGCACGCCGATGGTAGTAGGTTACCTTCATAACCTCCTGTTACTTCCTATCCAAATGTCGTAACTTTCGACCCTGACAGGAAGGGAATGTCGCCGAATGAACGAAGCCAACCAGCACGAAGGAGCCGAAGAAGGAGGCAAGGGGATTTTGGATGTTGAGCGTCGGTTGGGAAGAGAAGATGGGAGGATGAAGAGCTCGTGGGATTTGTTCCACCGAATCCTCAGCAGCATATTCTTAGTAGTTGATAGTAAAAAGTTATTTAAAACAAAATCTAACTCTAACTGGTCCATTGCTTGTTTCAAAGCTTAACTTTGTTGCTTAAGATTACATATTGGAATACCATAGAACTTTTAGTCCGGCTGCAAAATACCTACCATTCGAGTTTTTCTTGTTGTTACGTTACAGTTTGTTTGGTTGATTTTACAATTAGATGTATCAAATGTTGTCCTTCATGACGCGCTTGTAACAATTTATATGGCTCAACCTCAAGGGTTTTAAGGATCCACAATTCCCAATTATATTTGTTTGCAACAAACCATTTATGATATTAAACAAGCTCAACGTCAATAGTATAATACTCTTTATATCTTTTTGCAACAGTTGGGTTTTCCTTGCAATGCTGCGGGCACATGATGTAGGTAATCTGCAGAGGAATGTTAAAAGAACAATGCAACGATAAAACAGTAGCTCAGTAACACAGGAATGGATTAAACCAAAGGAGTATATTCTATTCTGCCTTCATCTTCTTCACTATTGCCCATATAACAGCTTCTGTACTCACCTACTAGAAAAGGACAAAGCTAATAAAAGTGGATAATAAGCTAGAAATAACATAAAAGGTAATAAAAGGTAGTGGAAAGCAAACAACTACTGAGCCGGTTAACGGCAAAGGTGCACCCGCAGGTATGATGTCCTCCAGGTGTACCCGAAGTAACGTGATCCCTCATCAGCTCTCCCCTGTCATCAAAATTTCTGCTGTCTCAGCAGAAACAGTCGTTGGGGCTTCATCAGCTGGATAGTAATGGCGCAAATCAACAACATTAAAGGTGGAGGAAATGCCAAGATCAGGAGGTAGATCAACGATATACGCATTATCATTGATCTTTTGCAATATAGTGAAAGGTCCCAATTTCCGTTGGCCCAATTTTGGGTGAGTTCTAGAATTCGATCGATCACGACGAATGCGGACCATAACGAGATCACCCGGATTGAAAAGCTTTTCGCGACGATGGCTATCAGCAGCTAGTTTATACGCTTCATTAGAAGCAATCAATTTCTGACGAATGTCCTGAAGCATTTGAGTGAATTGATCCACAACTTGGGCTGCTTGTTTGATGTTGCATTTTGGCAAAATAGCGATATCCACGATATGATTAGGCACTTTAGTATAAACAATGTGGAATGGCGACGTACCTGTTGAACGATTGGGCATACTATTATAAGCGAATTCCGCCTGAGATAACAGGTCATCCCACATTTTTGGATGTTCTTGCACCAAACATCGCAACATATTGCCTAGCGTCTGATTTACCACTTCAGTCTGGCCATCGGACTGTGGGTGATAAGCTGAACTTAAATTGATATCTGTCTTGAGTCGCTTCCATAACTCGCGCCAAAAATGACCAATAAACTTAACGTCGCGGTCAGAAGTCAAACTACGCGGTAATCCATGCAGACGAACAATCTCAGTAAAAAACAACCGAGCAATGTTAAGTGCATCAAATGTTCGCTTGCAAGCAATGAAATGAGCCATCTTAGAAAATCTGTCAACAACAACCATTATAGAATCATTACCTCGCTTAGTTCGTGGAAGTCCAAGAACGAAATCGAGGCTAAGGTCCTCCCAAATTGTTTCTGGAACTGGAAGAGGCAGATACAGACCGGTGTTTTGTTTTCCCCCCTTGTAAGACTGGCAGATGGGGCAGCGCTCCACAAACCTGGTGACGTCGCGGCGCAAATGGGGCCAAAAAAATCGTTGCTGGATCTGCTCCAGTGTCTTCTCACGACCAACGTGAGCTGCTAATCCACCGGAATGCACTTCTTGAATGATCTGGTGACGCCATGATGAGTCTGGGATGCAAAGTGCGCTCTGTTTGAATAAAAAACCATGCCGGATTGAATAATCACTCGATGACTTGTGTGCTATACAATCAGCCCAGATTTGTTGGAAATCATTGTCAGTCACATACAGATCTTGCAAACACTGGAGACCAGTCAACTCAGTGCTTAACTGCATAAGCAGAGAAGATCGTCGACTTAATGCGTCGGCCACGCGGTTTTGTTCACCAGATTTATGTTTGAGGACAAAGGTGAAGCGTTGCAAAAATAATATCCACCTAGCATGCATTCGATTGAGCGTCTTTTGATTATTGATGAACTGCAAAGCCTTATGGTCACTATGGAGAACAAAATCAGCGTGTAACAAATAGTGTTCCCACTGCTTGAGAGCTCGGACGACTGCATATAACTCTTGCTCGTAAACGCTCCATTTTTGCCGGGCTGGACATAGCTTTTTGCTGAAGTACTCAATGGGTTTATTGAGTTGCATTAATACAGCGCCAATTCCCGTAAGGGATGCATCCGTCTCAACTGTAAACGGAATTTCAAAGTTTGGTAATGTGAGGACAGGTGCTGTAGACAGGCTGTTTTAACAGCTTCAAAACTGGCTTGGTGTTCGGCATACCAAGTAAACTGCTTCGCTTTCAGACAGTCAGTTAAGGGTGCTGCAATCACGCTGAAACCTTTGATAAAACGTCGATAAAAGTTCGCTAAACCATGAAAACTTCGCACGTCGAAAAATGATTTAGGTACCGGCCACTCGGAAATGGCCTTAATTTTCTGCGGGTCAGCAGCAACCCCCTCTGCGGATACAATGAATCCCAGGAAATAAACAGCAGTGGTAGCAAATTCACATTTTTCCAAATTTAGATATAGCTTATTGGTTCGCAACACTTCAAAGATTTGTTCCAACTGCACTATGTGTTGGTCAAGTGACGGGCTGAACACCAAGATGTCATCGAAGTATACGACACAAAATTTGTTGAGGAACGGCTTTAGCACTTCGTTCATCAATCTCATAAAAGTCGAAGGCGCATTACACAGCCCGAAAGGCATGACTTTCCACTCATACAGGCCTTGTCTAGTCTTGAAAGCAGTCTTCCATTCATCGCCTGGTCTTATGCGAATCTGGTGATAGCCACTGCGTAAGTCAAGTTTTGAAAAAATGGTGGATCCGCAGAGCTTTTCAAGCAGCTCGTCTAGGCGAGGAATGGGAAATCGGAACTTAATCGTGATCTTGTTAATTGCCCTGCTGTCCATACACATACGCCAGGACCCGTCTTTTTTTTTTTTGCACCAACAAGGCGGGAACTGCACAAGAACTTAGGCTCGGTTGTATTAATTTTTTTCAAGTAGATCATCTACCAGTTGCTGCAGTGTTGCGTGGTCTTTTGGACTTAGCCTGTGATGCGGTAAACTAGGCAACGAAGCGCCCGGAATCAGGTCAATCTGGTGCTGTAAGATACGAAGTGGTGGTAGAGAAGCTGGGAGCTCCACCGGTCCGATATCTTTATACTTCTGCAACAGTTTTTGTACAGCCTCCGGCATCATTTGGCAGCACTTGGGCCCTTGATCCTTAATGACTAAAGCCAACAATAGTGAGCTCTCCTTCCCCAATTGTACAAGTGCAGAACCTGTTACCAATTGCATAACAGCAGGTTTGTGTTTAACTGGATCAGCCTTCTCAATAGGGTAAGGTAGGAGTTTGAGCCGTTTTCCTTTCCAATCAAATGAATAAGCATTAGATCTACCATCGTAAAGGGCCCCAACATCGTATTGCCATGGTTGACCCAGAATGACATGGCACACATCCATATCTAGAATATCACATAACACCTCGCCAACGTAGTGTTTGCCAATTGAGAATGTGACCCGGCACATGTCAGTGACCATAATCTCCATTCCCTTTTTAACCCATCCGATTTTATAGGGATTTGAATTCTTGGTGGTTTTAAGTTGCAAAGCTTGCACAACTGAACGAGCCACGATGTTTTCAGTACATCCACTATCAATCATGAGGTCACAAACCTTTCCCCCAATAGTGCAACGAGTTTTGAAAATGGCATGCCGCTGTGATATTGTACGTTGCCGAGGAGCGAGCAACACTTTCTCTAGAACACAAATCAGCGGTTCTCCGACATCAGGTGATACTTCTTCCAACTCAGGTTCCTGCTCTTCCTGTTCTCCTTGTACATCTTCAACGTCGGCATTAGTGAGTTGCAATTGAGGTCTGCTTGGACATTCATTTGACTTATGCCCGACTTGAAAACATCGGAAGCACTTAACCGTTGTTGGCCTGCTATACGGGTTGTCCCGCATTGGTGATTTTAACTTTTGCTGTAACTTAGGATCGGTACTGGGACCAGCTGATAACCCAGGCTGTGTATTCTGCAAAGAAGTAACAGAAGTTGGGGTCGTCACGGCTGCAGGTGCTCTGCCACTGGCTATCGAAGTCTTAGTTTGATCAGCATGATACTCGCTGTATGGTCGCCTAGTAGTATGCTGCTTATATCCCCTAGCGAGCTGAATCTCGGCCTTCAACGCAAAATTTACTGCTTGTGATAGAGACCAAATCGAGTTGAGTTCCAGCTTGTCCTGTATAGCATCCTTGAGTCCGCCAATGTAGCGGGCAACCATCTGGTTAGTGTTCTTATTTAGATTATTTCGAGCACTAAGACGATAAAACTCCTCCGTGTAGTCATTCACCGTTCGAGAGCCTTGAACGCAATGTTGGTATCGTAGATACAACATTTGTTCATAATCTGTAGGTAAGAAGTGAGCGCGGAGTAATTGCTTCATTCGACTCCAATTACGAACTGGACCCCGACCTTCTTTTCGGCGGGATTGCAAGAGTTGCAGCCACCACGCGCTTGCGCCCCCCTTCAATCGACAAGCAACGTATTTCACTTGCTTCTCCGGCTCGATCTCCATGTATTCAAAAAAAGTTTCCACTGCTCGCTCCTAATCCAAATAGTCCTCAATGTGCAATCGACCGTCAAAGAACGGTATATCCAGCTTTACTCTGAAGTCATTTTGAGGTCGCCCGTAACGATCACCCCCTCGCCGGCGAACAACTGGTGCTGGTTCATTATCGCCTTCAGTATCAGACGATACTATGGCATTAGGTGCTCCGAAATCATCTTCATCGGAATCTGTAACTTCCGAATTAGCCTGAGTTCGCCTCCGGCCCCGTTCACGATCACGAACGCGCCGACCAGCTAACGGATGATCTCCACGATTGGGACGGATGCCCCTCAGCTCATTCCAGAGGGCTTGAAATTCCCTACGCATTTCAACAGTTAGCCGAAACAAATCGGAACTCACCTCGTCGATCCGTCTGTCGACGCTTTCCTGCGCGTTCCACAATGCCTCAAGGCTGCGATCGGCGTCGCCAGCCCCCCGCCGATTGTTTTCCGTCATTCCTCAAAGCACCGGGCTCTGATACCAAAACTGATGTAGGTAATCTGCAGAGGAATGTTAGAAGAACAATGCAACGATAAAACAGTAGCTCAGTAACACAGGAATGGATTAAACCAAAGGAGTATATTCTATTCTGCCTTCATCTTCTTCACTATTGCCCATATAACAGCTTCTGTACTCACCTACTAGAAAAGGACAAAGCTAATAAAAGTGGATAATAAGCTAGAAATAACATAAAAGGTAATAAAAGGTAGTGGAAAGCAAACAACTACTGAGCCGGTTAACGGCAAAGGTGCACCCGCAGGTATGATGTCCTCCAGGTGTACCCGAAGTAACGTGATCCCTCATCAATGCATCTTTACCACTGAACCATTCTCGGGACATCCAATTTTTTGTTAAAATCTATGTTGATGACGAACTAGTTAATGGAAATTATGAGGTTCTTTATGCTCTTCTTGATGGTTTACATCAATGATATCATATGAAAAATATGGGCTCAATCTCATATTTTCTTGGCATTGAAGTTGTGCCAATTGATTATGGACTTGTACTTAGTCTAAATATGCCCAAAGCTGGTATAATTGAGTGCAAACCCATTAAAAATCCTGTTACTGTTAAGTCTCCAACAGGTAATTCTTTGATGGGGAGCATCTTATCTATATTTTGCTTCAAGGCCATCTTATCTTACCATGGTTTCATTATTTTCTTATCGTTATTTATTTATCATGTCTATTTTGATTAGTTACTGCTTTCCACTTTATGTTGTTACTACTACTGCTTTGATCTTTGCTATCAAATAGTACTTTCTCAATTTTTCTCAACTTCGACCCGACCTCTACAATGAGCTACGTAATGACACAATCAAGATTTTGTTATGTTCGGGCTGCAGCGAACGGGGAATGTTGGAACGATAGCAAAATAAGTAGGAGATTAAGATGATGGTACTTATAAGGAAGAGGACGGCGATGGTGATGACGGTGGTTTAGCTCATTGTAGAGGTCGGGTTGAAGTTGAGAGAAACTGAGAAAGCTAGTACTATTTGATAGCAAAGATAACATCTTTATATCAACATAATCTTAACTATGTTGTTGAGGACATTTAACGCAGATCCTCGCTTCTGTGTGTAAGCTTGATCTAATTTGAAGACCAAGCGGCTTTTTTTTGGAACAATTTAAATCCTATGGATCATGATGCATTCATAATATATTAAAAAAAAAGCAGCTAGTTTGCTGTACTAATCTTTATAAAATAAGCTAAGGTTGATCACCCTTTACCTTACTACAGCGAACAAATTGTTCTTGCCAAAGTTTCAGGTTCAAAGTAACTATTAGATTGTGTATTCTGTTCGAAGATTATATATATAATGAATGATATCTATGGTTCAGATAGTCCTTCTCACGGAAATACTCCTCAAATTCAAGATAAAAAAAAAAGCGTATTTGACTGTTTCTTAAACCACATATCATTTAATAACTGTTATAAGATTGTTGGGTGTATATATATATATATTGAATAGCGCAAACAGAGAAGAAGCTGGACGCAAGAGGATAAACAGAGAAGCAGGTTTTTTATACAAAACAATTTTCTATTTCATTTGACTGTTTCTTAACATATCAAGAAACAGTGCAAGAAACTGGAAGAATGATACCTTCTAAACCTGCTTGAGGTATAAGCTGGATGAATCACTTGGAAGACCAAGCGGCTTTTTTTTAATATATTATGAATGCATCCTGATCCATAGGATTTAAATTGCTCAAAAAATGACCGCTTGGTCTTCAAATTAGATCAAGCTTTACACACATAAGCGAGGATCTGCGTTAAATGTCCTCAACAAAACATTTAAGATTCTGTTGATATAAAGCTGTCGTCTTTGCTATCAAATAGTACTTTCTCAGTTTCTTGCAACTTCAACCCGACCTCTACAATGAACTACGCCACCGTCCTCACCATCGCCACCCTCTTCCTTGTAAGTCCCATCAGCCTAATCGCCTACTTGTTTTGCTCTCGTTCCACCGTTCCCCGTCCGCTGCAACCTGAACATAACATCGAGACTAGGCTCAACGACGAAAAAAATTGAGGTTTTTACCGGATTGCCGGCACTTGTTTCATGCCATATGTATCGATCAATGGCTATGTCAACATCCAACCTGCCCGGTGTGTCGTTCGTCGGTGATGGCTAGTGCCACGGCGATGCATTTGGCCGTTGAAAATCCATTTGAAATTGAACAGGAGGCGTAGATGTGTCTATACTACTATTTGAGTTGATTTCAAATGATTTATGTATGTATGCTTTATAAAATTCTGTAAACCGGGTGTTTAGTATTGATAAATTCCTGTAACTGATAAAATAGAAGCATTAACCAGCTGCTGTAGAAAATTGTAAAACAGAGAAGAATCATAAATGAGACAGAATTATCAGCTATCTTCACTTCATTGATTTCTCACACTGTTCCAGTACAAGTATATATTGTTTTCTTACCGTACTAGTATTGGTGTCTTCACCAACGGCTGAGATGAATTCAGATATTTTCTTTTGCCTGTTGATGTCTTGAACCGGATGTAGTGATGTGGAGAGCTTCCCATCATTATCAGTGGTCCCATTTTATTTATATGCTTTAACAGTCTCCCGCAAATTAATTATATATATCTATTGATATATGTTGACGACATTTTAATCACAGGAAACAATGACATGGCAATGGAATATCTCATTAACAAGCTTCAATAACAATTCGACATGAAGAATCTGGGACATGTTCACAAATTTTTGAGCATATCAATTGAAAGAAAAGTTGACTCATTCTTTCTATCTCAAACGCAATATACTACTTCTATTCTAAGCACATCTGTTATGCTTTTATGTAAACCTCTGGCTAATCCTACTTGCACTAAACATGTCAGATTTCCAGAGGATCTACTGCTTGTAAATCCTCAACTCTATCGTAAGATAATCGGTTCACTGCAGTATATAACTCTTACGAGATCGGATTTGGCATATCTTGTAAACAATTCATGTCAACATATGCAATCTATTCTTGCTTATCCACTTCAAAGGCTGTTACGGTATTTAAAAGGCACAATTCAGTTCGGTATTCCTATCAACAAAGGAATTCTTCAGCAAAATATTGTAGCCAGATCATCAACTGAAGCTAAATATCTTGCTTTGGCAGCTGCGATAACAGACATAATCTGGCTTTGTAAATTACTACAGGATTTTAAGATTCCAAACCAGCGAGCAACAAAGCTTTACTATGACACCACATCAGCGATAGCATTAGCAAATAATTATGTTTTTCACGCTCGAACAAAACATATTGAAGTAGATCATTATTTTATCAAACATCATATTTAGAATGATATTGTTTGAATTATTCCAACTACCACCCATGATCAAATAGCTGATGTGCTAACAAAATCTCTATCAACTGCTCGATTTCAACTTCTTCACAACAATTTGACTGTTCAGAAAGAACCATCACATTGCGGGGGCATAAAGGAGGACACTACGAAGAGGACGAAGCAAACATCTGTAACATAAATAACGGAAATGTTAAAACTGTAACAAACCTCTCCTATCACAGCAAGACAAATGTAATAACTTACTCACTTTCTCATCTATAAATATGTTATATGTGTAACATTTGGGTGTAATGAAATACAAGAATTCACTTTGTCCTCTGCCTATGTTTTCTTCATCTTGATTTCTTCAATTTGGCAATTTGGCCGATGAAATTCCGTTTGAATTTGAATAGGAGTAGTTGTATCTATACTATTATTTGAGTTTCATATAATAACATTTAATCTGAAATATTTAATACACTTAGATTAAAATTATATGAAACTCAAATAGTTGTTAGGGTATCGAGCTATAAATTTCATTTGTGTGTCTGTATTAGGGAAAATTATTATGTCCGGTGTCCGGATTCATCCAGACATCAATCCCGACGAGCCACGTCACCCAGATACATCTGAGGCCTAGTGTATCCAGGTAATATGGATGTATCTGGGTGACGTGACACGTTTGGATTAGTGTCCGGACGGTCCGATCACCGGACGTAATAATTCACCCTGTATTAGATTAGATTGTGCTGACCGATCGAAAGGTGTATTCAAATCCTAGAAATACTAGAAAAGAATCTCTGAACATCAAACACACGTGCCAAATCCAAATCTTATGTAGTTTTATTGCACATGTATTATATGAATAATAATTTAAAAATAAAAAATTATTATAAATATTTTAATTATATTATCATTCTTAAAAAAAAAATTAAATTTACCACTATAAGTTACTCTGACATGTGTGTTTGATATTCAGATATTCTTTTCCAGCATTTTATTAGTTTCATTATTATTGATTATTAATCTTTCTTTCCCAAACAGCAAGCATTAGGTTCTTAAAGAAAAACTCCCGAAATTCAAGAAAAAATAAATAGACGGAAAAGAATTCTATGTGAAGAACAAAAGTAAGGAGAGAAATATTTCTGTTCTTGCTAATACAAATATGCCTA